ACAGTCATCCACTCTCCTCCAGTTGAGAGCTAACTGACACTAGCAGCTCTACACATATTCATGCAAAGCTGCTTGCAGAGGGTGGCTAGGAGATGCTGATGGGAGGCATCCAGCCTGCCACGGACACTGTAAACAAATGCACTGTGCCTGAATCTGTTATTCACAGAAATTACATGTCTTCCTATCTCAAAGTTGATACTGAAAAGGAATATTAATTTTAAGATACTATATTTATGTATTACTTTATAATGAACTCATATATAACAAAGTATCAATTTCAAAGTTATTATCATGTACCCAAATATTATTAAAGGAGTTGCTGTGTCTGCTCATCATCCTATCCATCCCATGCGCCATTTTCGCTTAGTAACGGCCACACTTTCTATTTATATAAAAATGTATCTGCCGAACTCTGTAAAGAGTAAAGCTGGTCACAGTGTGAAACCTACAGGTGTCAACCATAAACTGTCCATGTCTGAACAAAAAAATCAAAGTCGACTATTGTGATCACTGGAAAGCAACAGAAAACAGGCACATTCTGAAAGAAGAAACCCCGAAAGAGTTAGAACAGAAGATCTGCGAAGATCTAAGGCTGCCTCTTACCATATACTCTGGCTGTAGATGCAAAGTCAAGCTTTTTTAAAAAAAAAAAAAAAAAGAGTTCAGTTCTTATTAATTACAGTCTGAATAGAATCTGGCTAATTAGCTACTAACAAGACATTAGTGTAGTTCAGAGAATTGTAACAGAGCTGAGCCTTGCCAGAATGGACATTTATAATGTCTGGGATAGAATCTAAAATTACTCAACACAACAGACATCACAACTCTTCAAGTTAAGAGAGTGCTAACCTAATCTAATGACAAGACCAAGACTTCAGAACTAACCTACCAAGAGTTCCAAGCATCTGCTTGAATTGATGGTGTAAAGGAAGCTAGCATCTGAAAAGCTGGAGACCTGACTGTGAGCCCCAAAAGCCAGGTAAAGCTAGGTGCAGAAGCATCCATCTGCAATCCCCAGAGACAGGAAGCTGAGGCAGAAGAATCCCCAGCAGCTGTGGGCCAGCTAGTTGAAGTAAGCAGCTGGGACCAACCACAAGAGCCAGTCTGTCTCAAACAAGGTCAAAGGCCAGGACCCACACCCAAGGTTTTTCTCTGAATTCCATACACACAGTGGTGCACTCACACATTTATCAAGAGCTCCCATCTTAGACACTTAGACACACACACACACACACACACACACACACACACACATACACACACACACCAGAATAATATGCAAATAACTCTTGGAGTAAATGGGGTTAAAAAAAAAACAGGCAAGAGAAAAGTGTAACATACACATTAATGACTGTAGCTGACATTTACCTGGTGGAATTAATAAAAAATGAATACAACAGAGAAAATAAATACAACAATGAAAATCTAATCTGAAGAACAGGAGGAAAAAGCAACCATCAAACAAAAATGTAGCTAACAAAAGCAAGCAAGCAGAATGCTAGGAATGATTTGAGGACATCAGAGGGAGTGCACTGGGCCCACTGAACTCTAGAGAGAGAATCACAATATGGATGTGAAGGAACAGTATTTAAAATATGATGAAATGGGCAAGCCCCATAAAAATGACTTTTTCAGAAAAACCCAACTAGCAAATATAACTAGTGTCACAACAGTCAGTGAATCCATCACCAAGCACCAGGCCAGGCAGCTCTGAGTGAACTCTACCCAAGCCTTTGAAAGAGACAGCAACGAAGAGCACGCTCTCACTTTATAAAAACAACATAAAACCAACAACAAAATCCTACAAAAATATTACATACAAGGTGTAGAACATTATCACTGGAGGATATATATGATTCTGAATCCATTAGTATGCAAATCAATGTCTTTATCAAGTAGCCTTTAACAAAGGATTAATTCAGAGCAATCAAAACTTAATATTCAGTCTGTAAACAAGGTAAGCAATACCTAGTATTTACCCCAACAAAGGAAAGAAAACATTCAGCAAAATTCACAGTCAATGTGGATCAAAGTTCTCAGAAAAGATGAAAAGGAAGGAAGCAGCTTCCGGCTCCTACTTGGAAAGAAAAGACCTAGGAGAAGCTGGGAGCTAATGCAGGCACAATTTAAAGCATGCTCACAAGCGCTCAGGGATGGGAGTGCCAAAGGCTACCTAGATCTGCTGTGCCCAGAGAATTCCATCAATTTGCATTTCCAGCATTAACTCAAGAGTATCACAAATAATTTGTTTTTAAGATCCCCTGAAAGGTTGCCAAGAACATCCCCCAAAAATTACTTCACCCAACTGCTGACTGAGATGAACCTAGCACACAGGATACACCATGAAAGATCTATTTAACAGTGCCCCCAAGCAGCAGGTAGTACTATGGGCAGAACTATGCCCATATTCCCAAATAGTTTATAATTGTTTACATTTAAAGAGGAATATGCTATAGAGATGAATAATTTGCTTTGGTATAGATCTTGGCTTATTGATACAAATTTAAGGTCAATTTTGTTATATGTATTTCTGATCTTGATTAAGGTATTGTGATTGTGTAACTCATTTAAAAATGCAATGTACAATTAAGAAATATAGGTTAATAGAGAGTCATCTTTAATAATCAAGCTTGTAATAATGTTAGATTTTCTAGATGTATAGAGATATATTTCAGTTAGATAGGTATTCTTCAAATCTTTCAGAATATGGCATTTAAATGTTTTAAAAATTTAGGACTTTTTATGATGGTGAGGCACATCTGCTCCTGGCAGCACCAATTATTTCAAGAGGAAGATGGGCATCGAAGAGGCTCCTTAGACATTTGGGCAAGAAATTGCTCTTGCCTGGACATGCAGGAACCGCAGAGAAATGACCAGTGAACTTGCCTAAATGTGAGATGATCCTTCGGGGTTCCTGCTTCATGAACGAGTCTGCGAGACATTCTAGAGGACACAAAAGAAAGTGACTGACCTGTCTCTGAAATTTCCGTTGGAAAAATCTGCTGGATACTATGGGCCTGAGGGCTGAAAATTGGATGCCCCAATGGTACAGAAGAACTTTGGATGACTGTCCAGGCAGCGAGATGTCTCTGTCATTTCTAGAGTTTTGGAAGTTGCTTACAATGCACTTCCTGTTTACTTAGGTAATATTATATCCTTCTGGAGTCTTTGATGGAGTTGAAGAATTTATAGTTATAGTTTTCCTTNTTGTAGGCTGAAGATGGATGCCCCAGCAGTACAGAAGCGCTTTGGATAACTGTACAGGCAGTGAGATTTCTGTCATTTCTAGAGTTTTGGAAGTTGCTTACAATGAACTTCCTGTTTACTTAGGTAATATTATATCCTTCTGGAGTCTTTGATGGAGTTGAAGAATTTATAGTTATAGTTTTCCTTAGTTATAATAAAAGATAAAGTAGATATAAATATTGTAACTGTAGTTCTTACTTGATACCTGTTTTGTTATATGTAGTTCTGCTCTGTGAAAGTGAAAGCCTTCCATTTTGTTTAAACAGAAAAGGGGAAATGGTGTAGGAGGCCCTTCTGACTATGTGTTGCTTTCAATAATGAATAAAAAAAATTGCCTTGGCCTGTTGACAGGACAGAATTTATGTAGGCGGGGAAGACAGAACTGAATTCTGGGAGGAAAAAAGCAGAGTCAAGGAGATGCCACGAATCCACAGCCAGAGATAGACATGCTTTGCTGGTAAGCCACTGACACGCGGCAAAAATGGGTTAAATTAAGATGTAAGACTTAGCCAATAAGAAGCTAGAGTTAATGGGCCTATCAGTCAGTGTTTTAATGAATACAATTTCTGTGTGGTTATTTCGTGTGTGAACTAGCCGGGCAGCTGGGACAAACAAGCGGGCCCTCCTCTTACAGAGTAACTGGCTTTCTGTACCTACTGCTAAAGCTACAAATTATCTGCTAGGGCCAGCCTTTACATGGGGCTAAACTCAAGGTCTCTCTACCTGATTTTATAAGCCATGAATGCCATCAAAGCAGCCCTACCTTTGTGAACTGTCTAATTCTAGCACCTTCCAAAGGTCTCACCTCCAAACATGATTAACAGTCAAGTCTAGGGTTAAGTTTCCAACAAGGGACTGCTGAAGGACACGGCAAACCCACAGAAAAACCTCTAAGTTACACAATTTACAAAACTCATTTGAGATGCAATACCACCCTTAATGTAAAAGCTAAAATGATAAAAGATTTGTACCTTGACCTGTAAACAGCTCCTCGCAGTCAGTCATCAAAATACATGCAGCCAAGAGATAAACGGGTCAAACAACATGTCCTTCACAACAGTAGGCACAAGTGCCCAGAGCTGTTAGTCATCAGAGCACAAGAAAAGACCAATGTAAAACAGAATGAGTAACAAAACCCCGAGAGTGCAACACACTGCAGACGGAGCCCAGGCAGGCACCATCCAACTGCTTTACCTATGGATACCACACGCTGTGCAACTACTTCAGGGGGAAAAGGAACAGGAATTCTTTGAAAAATTGAACATAGCTCCATTTTAATACTTGGCATTTGGCCTGAAGAATAAACCTACCTGCAGAAAATGACTTGTAATAAATACAACATTCCTGCAATGTAATGTATAATATCATCAAAATGAAAACTGTCTAAACTAGCCCCAGCACAGTAGGTAAGGATTCTCCCTCTGCAACTCAAAGAAATGAACACTATATAAACCTATGAATAAACCTATATATGACCACATATGACACATGAGAGAAAGTCTGTGCCAACAGGTGCTTACGTATGCACATGCCTGACACAGTTCTATGCATGTCACATAAACAATCATAGTTCTAAACCACTCGATTTCATATTTTAAATGACTCCACAATTTATTCTGACATCAAACAAACAAGCAAAAGAATCAAATGACTAAGTTCACTATAAAGTTTGAACTAGCTTCAAATGTGTGTGAGCCAAATAGCCTCTGCTCCCCGGGGTTCAGGACAGCAGCAGCCCACGGTTCATGCCTTACCTTGGGAAACTGCTTCACAGGAATCAGCACTTTCTGTCCCAGCTTCATGTTCTTGTTTATCACCACGTCAATGTACTTCTCTTCATCCTTGCCTTCTCCTTTCTGAAATTTTTCTATTTCTGTGGAGGCAAAAAGAGAGCCATGAACTATGTGACACGGGCCTGCAGGTGTGGGGTCTGGCTAGCTAACTGTGGAAGGAAACCAAAGGCAGAAATGCAGACTGTTAAACTGACATTTTTTCTAGTAATGACACATCTCCTATTCTACTAATGAAATCTTCACAAATGAAAAAGGCACAAAGCACAGCTCTCAAAGCAGCCCTCAGCTATACGTGCAAACGAAGGGAAAAATGGACAAAGACAAAATCAAACAATTAAACAGAAATTAATGATTAAGCCCCCTGGGAGCTCAGATCAGCATTACTCAGCACCAGCGCCCTAGTAACTGCTCTTGCCTGGCATTCTAAAGCCTGTACTGTCAAGAATTGGCTCAAAGACACAAAACAGAAGAACAAGGAGGGGCATAAGGGGGGTTGAAGGGAGGAAAGGGAAGGTGGAAAATTATTTAATCATAGTTTTGTTTCAATTTTTTGTAATTTTTTTTTAAAAACTGTCTCTAAGTTGGTTTGGAAATCCTATTTCTACAAACATTTACTGTCATCCAGCACCTGCCACGGGCAAGGCTCAGAGTCTAGAAAGAGCATACATTGCCTCTCACTCTGTATCGTCTACAGCCCCTGGTTCGGGTGCTTCCACTGCAAGTACTTTTATGACCTTTCACCCCTAACAACTGCAAGAGACAGGCTCAGAGAAAGAGCAAGGGCTAGGGATGACATGAGTGCACAAAGGGGGATGGCTTGCTTATTTAACTCGTGTGTGTGTGTGTGTGTGTGTGTGTGTGTGTGTGTGTGTCTGCCTCTCTGTCCTGGGAGACTGTGGATGCAGTCGGGGTGGTATGCACACATGCCCCACTCTCGTCCAAACTCCAGGCAGAATCGCTGGGTACCTGGCTGGCATTAGAGGTCTGACGGTGCCAGGAGACACTGCAACAGGAACTAGAGTGCTGGGGGAGGATATGAGAGGAAGGAACGGATCTGTAGATGAGAAATGCTCATGCATTTCCCATAAATAAACACCAAGTTGGAAAATTTCAGAGTCATTGGTAGGATAAACTAATAAGTTTTATTCTTCAATAAAAAGCACTAAGTCCTTTGGAGTAACCCAGAGGAAGGGTATATGGAAACCTATCTTATTGACACATGGCACAGTGGTGGTTAAGAGTGATAAGTATAAAAGGGGGTGGAGGTAGGAGATGAACTAACCAAAGCTAAGGGTTATGAAAACACTTTGTGGAAGCTTACCAGTTAGTACAATAATTTTAAAATGTATTTTTTAAGTAGTAGTTCAAATGGAAGAAGTCTGCATAAATGGTCAGTGCTGCTCCAGGAAGACATGGCTATTAAACAAAAACTGCATCACCAGACACAAGACATCTCCCCAGAGCTCTCCAAAACAACACAGGCTACAGCAGTGCTCTTGGTTGCCCACCAGAGCCACAAAGCAAGACCCAATTGCTGAAGACATCACATATGTTGGCCAAAGAACATAAATATCCTACAAAGAAACTTTCTCACTACTCGTTAGCTTTAATTAGTAGCTGCAGTTACCTGTATAAAACGAGCCAGCCAAAATTCCAATATGGATGAGGGAGGCACTTAAAAGGTCTCCTACCTAATGGAGGAGCTGGGAGCTGAGGGAGACTCATTCTTTGGGGGTGTGGCCACTGGTAGGCTGACTAAGCTCCAGTGGTTGGCCCACTCCTTATGCACTTATGAGCAGCATTAATTCATCTTAGTGGAAGAGGGGGGTCATGTAGTTGGGAGAGAGACAAGTAATTAAACAGAAACAAGTCAAAAGTCAGCTGCTTCACTGAGTATAATCCAAGACTTCAGTTTTAATTAGTAAAAGAAAATGAATCCCATCTTTTATTATCTATTCATGTAATAATTAGAAATAATCCTTGACAAAAGAGTTAACAAACTAGGTAAACTAAAATTTCCTTTAAAACAACTAGGCTGTTCCCCATTTTTCACGTTTGTGTGGGATGCATGCATGCTTTGATAGAGTGTCAATACAAGGGAGCCTGGGTGCACATCCTCGCATACAGAGGTTAGGTTAGTGCAGGAAACATCTTGATAGTCTGCCCCCACCCTGACTTACCCACTGAAGCAAGGTGTCTCAGTCAAACCCAGAGCTCACTGATATCACCAGTCTTGTTAGCCAAGCTGCTCTAGGGGTCCTGTCTGTGCATCTGTGGCATTTACATGAGTGTCTAGAGATCTGAACTCTGGTCCTCACATTTTCAAGGCAATCACTTGAACTACTGAACTATCTCATCGCTGTAAGCCAATCAACTACAATTTTGTTGTATGTTTATTTGATGATTATGAGTAGTTGTGATGTTTTCAAGAAATCCAGCAAAATACAATGTGTGTGTGTGGGGGGGTGTACAACGGTACCAGACAACCTGCAAAATCAAGACAGTTGTCTATGATTGGATGCCTAGCCTATGTTACTTAGGACAGAAAAGTAGCTCAGATTCCTGAAGCTCCCCACAGATTCATGCGTCCCTTTTGCTGGCTATGAAAATGAAGGCAGCAAGCAAGGATCCCATCAGAGTTCCTGGAAAGACACCTGGGGCTCTGACTTTCACTGCTCTCAGCTCACACCTGGTATCACACACCTTCACTGAATTCACAGCCACCTTCCCACTCAGAAGCAAACCAACATGCGATGGAGGGTTCGGAGAATACAGAGGTAGGTAATGCTGTTTTCAAGTCACAGACCCAAACCGCTGTTATTTCAGAAACGGTTCCAGTAACATCTGCTTTAGTCTCAGTTGGTGCTTTGTTTGAATGTGAAATGTCCCCATGGGCCCCTGTGACTGAACCTTTGGTCCTCAGCTGTTTGCATGCTAGTATAGTGTAGAAGAGTAGGAGATGGGAGTCTTGCTGCAGGAAGTGGGTTACGGGTCGGGGGAGGGCTTGGGAATTTAGACTGTGCTTAACTTTGTATGCGCTCTCCACTCGCAGATCAAAGGTACAGGGGACCAACAGCCATACACTGCTACACTGTTACCATGCTACATGGATGCACTATATTCCCTAGAACGCTGGGCTATCTAAACTCTTCCTATTTCAGGTTGCTCAGAAGAGTAACTAATGCTGTTTGTTAATCTGTTAATTTCCTGGCCCAGAGCTTCTGAAGCAATGGCCTCTTTTTAACCCAATACATAAAATATACCAATATATACAAATCCTCTAAAAATATACCCAAAGATATAAGTTCACTGTGTATACACATTATCTCCCTACAGTAAATAAGAAAATGGTAACCAAAGTAAACTGCTGCATGGAGGGGAAGGAGTAGCTTTGTATTTTTAAATTATGGGACTATTATTATTAATTTAAAAGTATAAAATTTAAATTAAGTTTTAGAGAATTGTTTTAAATTCAAAAAACACCTTTAAAAAATAAATTTTATAAGTGAAATGTATAAAGAGATGGCCACACTCAAGTTTTACACTTTGGCTGGGAATGAAAAGCTCTTCACAGCTCATTTGGTCCTCTCTTCCTGGGCTTCTGCACTGGGACCAGGAAGGGAATCCACCTGGAATGCATCTCACTTAAATACAGAGAGGTTTGGAGACTACCTGCAGAGAGCCCGGAGAATCAGTAATATTTTAATGGACTGACATTCACCTGTACTGAGACAATACCAACTAGCATGTACCTAAAGCCTATTAAGTTCTGAGATCTATGAAGAGAATCCGCAGAGCAAGGCAGAGACAAACATAATATTGTGCACAAATGCTACAGAAAGGGGCGACTGCTTTGAGATGTGCAAGATTACTTAAAAATCGGAAAAATTCAGGCCTAAATTCTTAAAAGGCCTGGTGAAGAAGAATCCCAGGCAATGGAGTATGGATTTCTCAGTGAGAGGGTGCAGCCCAGGAGACATTACTGCAAGGGTGCTCATCTACACACTGCGAAAAGCTTTTCTTATAATGTTACAAAACCTCACGATCACAGAAGTCCTGGTGCCTGGCCCTGGGTTCTCACAGAATGCTGGGCAGAGTAAGGTGGAGACAAGAAGGCAGGCCAGATTCTTAGCGTCAATATGACACAGTTCAGTAACAAATAGGGAGCTGCACTAATGTCAGCTGCTGCAGCAGAAGCACCCTAAAGGAAAGGAGACTGGGCAGTGCAGAGAAAGTGAAAAGCAGGCAGGTCAACATGACTGCAGATGGCGCACTCAAAGTCAGGACAGTAACGCAACAGAAACAACTTCTACCTGGTGTTTCACGTTTACAATAAAGGCCCCTACAACAGGGAGCTCTTGAAGGGCAGCATTTTTTTCTAGTTTAACTTTGTAGCTCTAGAACAACCCAAAAATACAGTTCAGTATCCAACACCAAGTTAAAGCATACCCAGACCCCAGGCCTCCCGCTGCCCAGACCCACAGTCTTCTACTCCCCAGAAGAAGAATGGGGCCCAGGGAAGACAGATGCCGGTCCCTACACCTTTGCTGAGTCCATCCTCTAATACTGGCACAGCAAGGGCCACATGCATGGTTTCTAGATGGCTGAGCAGCTGTTTTAAGATAGCTGAAACAAGTGAGCACACACATAAAGGGGTGGCAGCTAACGATTGAGTGGTCTTCTAAACGTCATGCTTTAGTAGTGTTTAAAAGGTGCTGTGCCATGAGGCTGTGCTAGACCTGTGAGAGACATAATCAGCCAGCTCCACCAAGACAGAGAGCGAAGGTAACACGGCCTTTACTAATGGAGACCAGCCTACAGAGCGGAGGAAAAGCGGTGTGAACCACAGCCTTTACTAATGGAGACCAGCCTACAGAGTGGAGGAGAAGAGGTGTGAACCATAGCCTTTGCCCATCACCACAACCAATGTGACTACCAAGAGGAGTCACAAAATCTATAGGAAAATGAGGAGTTCATGTAAGTAGAATGAAATACACGCTCAACACTCAGAAAACAAGTTCAGAGTAAGCAGAACAGTACAGTTGGGGTTCAAGATTGATCTAAAGACTTATGGATTGCA